TCCGAGTTGTTTGCTTCTACCTGCCCTTCTATCGAGTCAAAGATGTGCTAATCGAGTGAACAAACTTTCCGATTGGCTGGTTCCCTTCAATGAACAATGATTTTATAGAGGTTAAGAAGCACTGCTTTATAAGCTCCGTTGGTTAGTCTGGTGGAAAACGTCAATAAAAAACGCAGTTATTAGTTCTACTGTCAGAAGAATGGACTTATCGTATGTAATGCAGTAGCCGTGCACTCAGAGTATTTTCATAGCTTCAGTAGGCGAAAAAAATAAATATAAGGTATTTCCCAGGAGTAGGATGGAGAGTAGAGCGTCCTAACAAAGTGTGAGTGCTGGAACAACCGATTCGGGGAGAGCGCTCCATGGTTGACACACACGAGTGGAAAAAATGGTTATGACACGACAGACGGCCGTACTCTTCTACTAAATTCAAGGAATGACCTCTACTTTTGTGCTAACGCTGAGTTGCACACATGATTTGGATTGTGTAAAATCAAGTACGCTATAAGCAAGTCGTCTCGCAGTCGGCGATATTGCTCGCGGAATACTCCCAAACGTTTCAGCCTCTGCTTATATGGAAGGTGGAGCATTCCAATGACATAGTTAGAAGCCCGACATTGAGGTTGGTCCAGTGCAGTAAGATCGTACTTCAGTCAAGGCTGCCAGGATTGCATTGCGTATTCGACAAGGGGGCGAATATACGCATGCAGCATCTGACTGAAAATAGATGTGTCTATTTGTCTGACCGCTTGTCGTAACAAGCCGACGTGTTGGTTACCAGTTTTCGGTGCTTATGAGATTTTCTTGGAACAACCCAAGTTATCCTGAACAAGCACGCCGAGGTCGCGTTCCACGGATGATCGCTGCAGTACTTGCGCTCCTAGATTGTAAGAATAGGTGCTCTGGTATTGTATGGAGGTCATCTTGCATTTGTCCACGTTGAACTGTAGCAGAGTTCAGGCAGGGCACTGATGTATCATATCAAGGTCGCATTGCAGTAAATTCTGATCGGCATCCGCCGCAATCCGGCGCCATGTCTTGATATCTTCAGCAAACAGCAAATGAGAAAAGATTTTCGGTGCAAGGCCATTGATGAATACCAAAAACAAGCGTGGACTTGGAGCCCTGTGGGGTCGGATAAAGAACCCCGGACTCTGGTCACTAATTGTCGTTGCAGGAGAAAATTGGCGATCCAGGTCAAGAGAGGGTCACGGATCCCGTAATATTGGAACTTGAAAAGGAGATTTCAATGATCTAAACGATCGAATGCCTTTGAAAAATCCAAGTAGATCACATCAACCGCCTCTCCAGTGTCAGCTGGCTCGATCCAACTACTCCGTGTGATTAACAAAGTCGTGCACGATCGCTGTCGACGAAAGCCGTGTTGCTCGGGAGCAATGCTATAATTCTTTAGATAACAAACTACCGCATCGACAACAATGAATTCCATGAACTTGGATCATACAGGGAGAAGACAATGGGCGGTATCTTGAGGGCTCAGTCCTGCTTTCGCCTTTGTGAATCTGAGTTATTATTCCAAGTTTCCACATCGCGGAAAGTTGGTTTTGGTCGAAGCAGTACAGAAAGAAGCGGGCTAAAGGTTTTGCCAATTGTCTTGCTGCTGCACCCAGTGCCTCTGCGCGAATGATGTCGACTCCTGGGGAGCTGTGGTTGCGCATGGACGTCGGCTTCTGCAATACAGCTTAGGCAGTAAAAGAGATGTGTGTGGTGAGTCCTGAAGGCGGGAAAACAAGAGTTGGTAGATGGCCTGACGGCAAATCTCCCTGAAATGTGGGAGCATATTGCGTCCGCAACGCGTTTGCTGCTTCCATAGCCATCATTTGGGCCATCAGTCATTCGGAGCGGGGGACTTCCCTGTCTCATCTTAAGATGGCCATTGACATATTTGTACAGCAGTTTGTGGTTAGCGCTGAAAGTGCTGGTCATATTCTGCTGATATGCGACTTGTCATCTGTGACCAATTGAGTGCAGTGGTTACGATGAGCTAGGTAGTTGTAGCAATTTTCCGGCGTTGGTGATGTTGTGTACTCTCGTAAAGCTGCGTTGCTCAGTCATTCATTTTCTAGTTCAACTCCTCACGAAAGTAACGGTTTTGGGCCAGTTGAAAACTCTTGTATCTGAGGCACCTGCAACTAGTTGATTGAATTTACTGAGGAATTGAAGCAAAACCTCTTCCTAGGGTGTTTCAGCGAGAAACGACGAACTTGTGACACTGGCAATCTGGGCTGAGCGGTCGTAGCGCGTAACGGTTCGCACCATCGCAGTGTTTTGGTAGCGATATCCCGCATACCAGATACAGTCAAAACTTATGACTGCATGATCACTGCGACCAAAGGGGAATTCTACGATTAATACATTTCGCTAGTGAACACAAGATAAAGCGAAGATGGTCTAGTACCTGTTCTGAACCTGTTCTGGACATAATGGCGCGATTGTAAAGTGGAATAATGGGTATGAGCACTTGCAGATCTGCGTTGAATGGTTCTCGGATTGTAGCAGGAGTTTCTAAACAATGTACGTTGAAATCACCCGTGATAAGGGTGCGAGTGTGCTTCTGCTTTAGACTGCATCTTAAAGCTGTTGCAATGTGGTAGTCCATTTCCGATGTAAAGCTTTGGGGGACGTACACTAAAGCTAGAAGGCAAGTGTCTCTATTACGTAAATGTAGGCGGCACCAAAGAGATTCGGCGAACTGTAAATCCGAGTCCTCAATGGTATCGCACCGTAGGTTGCATCGATAACAAAGAATTACCCTTCATCATTTCATAAGCCTGTCGTTTCACATGAGTGACATGCCAGGCAGAGTTCAGCGTCTGTCATTCCAATGTGCAACCATGTCTCCGTGACACCGATGATATCGCATGGCTACGAAATTTGGCGATCGTTCAGTTCGGCCAGCTTATTGAAAAGGCCTTGAGCATTGGTATAAAGCAGGATAGTTCCTCGGTCTCTAGGAGCCCACGGGGAGCCGAATGAGTCAAGTGTGGTCGAATGTCGATCGATGCGATGTAGGCCATAATTCGAGTTTTGATGGGATGTTGATGACACGTAGTTCACAAAGTGATCTGGTCAAAGTATGTCCCATTGCTTGTCCGGACACACTGCAGAATCGCGCGACCCAGCGGTAGTGTGATGCACCTGCGTAATCGCTGGGAGGCTTGTTTTTTTCTGATCGACTCATGTCTGGCTTTTGCAAGGTCTCAGCAGCTTTTAAACGAAGTTCACATGGCAGGCTTTTCCAATGTCGCCGTCAACACTTTAACACTTCCGTTGCCTTACTAATGAGTAGGAGGATGTTGATTTTAATGTTTTTGTCCCAGTAGCTCACAATCTACATAGTACAGCCTAGTTTGGAAAAACACCAGACGCGTTTCGCCCAATTGGGGCTCGTCAGTGGTGCGCAGTCCTCCGGTCCCCTAATGGGTATCGAACCCATAACCGCTAGAGGCAGATGTCAACTAGCCAGCAGCTCAACCCATTGAGCCATGGGGGTCGGCTAGGTTACATAACTTGCAAGCTAACTGGGATATAGGAGGACCTATCTTCCACTGCCACGCAGGTTACTACCTCAGCAGGTGACAGTGGCTAACCTCCGAAGGTCATGAGTTCTCTCACTAGACGCTAAATCCATAGCAGTTGAAACTAGGAGACACAACATTTTGTATTAAGCTTAAGCTGCTGGCTAGTCAGCATCTGCCTTTAGCGGTCATGGGTTCGATCCCCCAGTAGGGGACCGAGGTAATGCACACCACTTCCGTTGCTGTCTGCTCTGACTGAAACATGAGTTTTAGGATTTTTGGTCCGCTTTCTCCACAATTTGGTTAAAGAGGATCGCACCACAATGTTGTCCAAAGAAAGTGTTTCACGAATGAACCGCCACTGCTCCAAATCGTGATCACCGGCCTCATGACTATCGTGGGAAGGAGGTTCTGGCACGCCATAAATAAAGATTGTACATAAAAAAACCAGCTTGCTGTGTTCTTCCGAGATGTTTCTTTTCGACTGACGCATGCTCCAAGGGACCTCAGAATAGATGTGTACTTTACAAGGCCCGTGTTGTAGCGCACTTGTAGAGAGTAAAACGTTTTCTACATCAACGTCCGATTCCAGTGTTACTCCGATAATCCAGAGTTCGAGTGACGAGTAACTCATAATATGTTTGTGGATTTGGCTTTTACCTTCACCGAAATACACATTGAGTTCCACTGGTCTTGATCGTCAGACAACTTACTCTACAATGTGATGGCGGTAGATTCGGGGATATTTGTGCACATGACAGACAGGGCGTTATTGTTAACGAGGTTTTTTGTTGAACTGCAAGGTCGGGTGATCGTCGGACCTGGCTTTAGACCAAGTGATGATGGTCTACTGTTTGTCGCTCTGTTCGCGTTAGCGGTGTTTGCAACAGTGGAGTACTGTAGTCTGTCAACATTGGTGACTTCAATTATGGGAGATGATGGCTTGAATGGCATGCGATCTTTGCCCCCACAATTTACTTTCAGTGGCTGATTTCGCAAATGTTGCATCTCAATTCGCGGAAGACGAGCAGCCTCAAGGTTTCTGTCATGTGTGGAAGTCGCGATGATGAAGGATATCGCTTGAATACAAAACAGAGAAATAATGCCGTCCAGTTCCCTTTCGAAAGTTAGATGCGGTGTGAAATCGATTGTGATAACGCCGGAAGCAAGACCCCTAATAAGAGGTATGACGTTGTCACTGCATAGCAAGAAAGAACTGAACTGAATCACCACTTGTATAATATCTAAGTACAATCCAGATCAAGTGACTGCGTCCAGTGAAAATGGAACACCAGGTTGCAGGCGAATTCCAAAACCTAACATAATCTTACTGTCCGAGGATGATAGACTCACTATGTGGCATGAAAGAATACAATGTGTGGGTAAGTTATACTCAATCGAAATGGTGACGTCACAGAAATTTGTGGAGGCAGAGATATGCCAAGGGAGAGAACCACTTACCTCATTTGCGCTGTTGTACGATCCAACGACACGAATGAAGGTAACAAGCTGTAGCGGGAAAGTGATGAGTTGCCACGATTGACAACGATCCCTGGTGGCGTCGTGAACTAGTCTCCAATCTTCCCGGTTAGTTGACACATGCACAGAGTAGCTGTAGGTTCGATCATCCAGATCCCACAACAGGAACCTAGAATGGCCAATGGACAAGTGAAAACAAGGAGTATGAAGGACAGGCCAAGCTAGTATGCAGATACGGAGAAGTTTAGTTTAACGACTGAGCGCATTGGTCACATGACATGTGGAGAAGTAGGCCGAGATGCAATGATGAGAATAGAAGTAAGTATGCCATAACGAGTAATGTATAATGAAAGCAGACTTGCACACAATAAAAATTCAAGAGTGAGGAGATATATGTGGGAGTTCTAGCTCATGGAGATGATACGAGTGAGATTAAGACTTGTCATTCGATGATGATTCGGCTTAAAACAGTCGCTGTGTGTTCGATGATAGGACGCAAAATGATAATAATCCCTTTAGGCAGGCCCAGGTGCCACATGCAACCCGATGCAAGATAAAGTGTAGCCCAGAAGAAGGCTACTGTAAATTGGGATTATAGTGGCAATATACAAAAGGGACAGTCGCAGTGACTGTGCTAACCACAAGGGTATTAGCCTAACGCGAATTGTGACAAAGTCACAGGCTTCGAATCTCATTCGTCGCGTTACCGGGGAATTGGAATACCGGGAGATAGAAGAGCAGGCGGTTTTCCGCTCACGACGCGACTGTATCGACGACCAATTCACATTGCGGCGGGTGTTAAAGCAATGCCAGGCAAACCGAAAACCGACAATAGTTGTGTTCCTCAATCTAAAGAACGTGTTCGAGTATGTCGATCGATGCATTCTGTTCGAAATACTTGCGAGTAAAGGTGTTCCCATGTAAATATTTTACGTGCCATATAATCAAACACTACAGGCCGCGTCAGGGTCTACGGTGACTTGTCGGAGATTTCATTGACAACAAGTGGCATTCGTCATGGATGTCCGATTGCCCCATTTTTGTTCAGGTTCGTTGTGGACTCCATCACGTATCATAAGCACTGAACTTAGATTACGTATTGCAGAAGCCAGAACTGCCTACTTGAAAATGCAACATCTTTGGCGACAGAAAGGAGTTCGCATGCTCTGAAACGCCGTGTTTACAGTGCCACAGCGAGGACCGTCCTGCTCTATGGAAGTTAGAATTGGTTCCTTCGGTCTGAAGATCTGAGGCGCTTTTAAGTCTATGATCATCGTTGTCTGCAAAGCATTGCCAGTGTCGGATGGCAACAGCGTGTCCGCAACGATGATGTGTGTAGACAGTCACAATCAAAGTAGCCTCTTAGAACAACAGATAGCACTGAATAAGTTGCGTTGGCTTGAATATGTACTACGTATGCTCGTTCGTCGTTTACTGAGGAGGACCTTGTTTTATCTGCCAGATGTAGGGTGGCGAAAGGCTCGAGGTGGACAAAATTTGACTACCCAGATGGAAATGTAGTCGCTGATGATCAAACTGTGTCCCGTTGATCTGTCTAGCCTTCCAGGCTGGAGTCCACGTGACTCGCCTTGTGCTTGGCTAGAGACTTTACAGGACATGGCTCGCGGTCGACACCAGTGGTGCGTCTACTGCCGTCTCCTAGCCGGAGTATCTGTGTGTTTCGAGCTGAGTTATCAGGGTAATGGTTGATTATGACATAGGGCAGTGAAAGCCGCAAGCTGTCTTGCTGATGCCGCATTATCTTTGCACGATAGCCAGCTGTTTGTGACCGTATGTCGTTGACAAGGTGTAGACATCTTGACCATGAATGATTGCTTAGGGCATTAAAGTTTTCCGGTTAGTCCCCTTTGTCGCCATGCTTTTGTTCAACTTTTGGTAGGCCATTGTGGTAGTATGGTAGCGAATCATCAGTTCAAATGGCTTTTGATGGTGATTGTAAATTTGGTCCTGCAGCGGCCATAATCGCAGTTTATAAGATTAATTTGCCGAAACGAAAAGAAATAGTGTTCTTGGAGATGTAAGATCCGAACACAGGTAACATAAAAATGAAAGTTGGCTCTAGGATCTGTATTTTCTGTGAACATTGTTGCCCACTTAACTATTCTGACTATGACATTACAAAGCAAAACAAACCCATCACTCAGTTGCATGATGACAACAAGTGCATCATTAGAAAGTAAGCTTATGGAGGTCACAGTTGCAAAATAGATTTCTAGTTCATTTTACGGTGTGCAAAGTCACTAGTAATACTCAGTCTGTGCTTAGCTTTGCTCAGTATGACTGTCACCCGAAACTGTTGTCAAAAGGATGTTGGGAAATTTTCGTGATTGCTCATTTTTTGAACACTGCACACCATTCTCATCATCATACACTTTTGATGTGATACTAAAAATGAAGAACGCCTGCAGATAGAACTTTTAGAAATGCAGCCTGATTCTACACTCAGAATACAGTCTCTTGAAGTGGGAGCACTTGGTTTTTTCCCCCTATCTTTCTGAGTGGTACAAAACTTTGCAGTTGTATTTATTGACCTGTATAGTCCTATCTGGTCAGATCCATCTTGTCTTGTTGTAATGTTTGCATCCAGGAAACTCAGTTAGTTGTTATTTCCCTGTTCGATAGTAAATGCTACATTAGGATGTGCTTGGTTGGAATAATGAAAGATACGTTGAATATTCGTCGCTAGGTCAACTATGCTGAAAATATCATCTACGTAAAGACGGTAGGATATGGATCCTGGAATGACCGGCTTCAGTGGACCATTTACGAGCATTCCCATGTACATACATTTCCAAAGTTTTGTACCACTCAGACGTAAAAGAACGCTGGTTCGCACTTTAACAAACCGTGCAGAACGAATCTGAAGCAAGGACACCATTGCAAAAGAACTGAAGCGAATAAAAGAGATGCTGCTGGGCAACGGTTACCAGGAACGCTTCATTGAGGCGCACAGAAAACAAAGCAGTCGAAACGTCGCAAGGCACACCGTCGAGCAGAAACATCTGTTCCTCGCCTTGTCATTTAGAAACGATAACGCGTCAGAAATGTGTGCACGACAACTGGTGCGAATTTGTGAGAAAACATTTAACCCCGCCCAGTTGTCTTCAGGAGCCAGCAACAATTTGTCCCTAGATTGAAGAACAAACTGCCCGGTCATCTCCAATCTATGGTAATGTACTGGTTTACCGGTCTATGTGGGTTTAGGTACCTTGGCCGCATGGCCAGGCACTTGTGCAAACGAAGCAAGGAACATCTACCAAGTGGGCTTATGAACAAACATAATAGAATCAAGCTAAGTGCGATCACAAATCACCTGATCAACACTGGCCATCAAAGCGACAAAAGGACTGCACCGTTCTAGCAGAACCATCGGTTGAGTGCGCGAGTACTTGCTACCGAGGAAGCGGTATCCATAAGGTTAACAAATCCGAACCAATACATTCAAAAGAAACACGCCCAAGCGCTACAACTCCTGTGGCCATCATCCAAACGCGAAGAGCCGGATCTAACCCAGCAATCCCCCATGATCGCCAGAAGCATATCGATAAACACAATTCGAATGTTTTGGATCAGTTGTTACCCTTTGTACTCACGAGTGATTTGTCAGCTTTTTTATCTTTATGTATGTACTGAGCCTGATGCCAAATAAATCGGAAACAATTGTTTGCTCGAAAATCACTGTTTACGTTTCTCTTTGGGATTAATGAAAAAACAGCAGTACCTCAAAAAGCTTCGGATTCGATAAGGAATAGGTTCACAAAAGGGTGAAACTATAGCTGAAGAAGATGGCTAGGTAAAGCATGTGTTCAGTGCCACCGATCTGGTCAAATCAAGATCAGCTTTGTACCCCGATGTGGGTGGATTTCTGGCAATGTACACTAATACTGCGGACATATTACAAAATAAAATCGCTGAATAATGATGCGAAGTGGCAAGAAAGACAGAATTTAGTTGCAAGCAAGTAAAGCGACTCGCAATTGAGGTGTTATCACTTTTGGATCGATAAATAAGCGAAACAGATAAGCCAAAATGGAGCTGCGATAAGAAGAGGTAGAGGGAAATAAAACTTTAAAATAAATGCCGCACTTGCTAAAACAGAGTGTAGAGGATGAGAGTCCGTCATAGCCATAAAACATAGAAGGGATTCTGTGCTAAATCAAGAGCATCGCGACAGTTTAAGTGAGTGCACAAGAAGAGTATATACTTTCTGAAGAATTTCAGAGAAAATAACAGAACAGTGTGACTACTGTGGATGAATACATGTATTTGCAAACCAGAATTACAGCAGGGGTATGAAAAGTACTTCGAGCCTGAGAGAGTAAAAGGATATCCTTCTGACTTTTGAGAAGTTTCAAGAATATGTCGACCAAGATAAACTGCAAGTCGAAAGATCACTGAAATACTTTACGGAATATAAACGGAGAATGTTTTGGACATCCACGACCAAAGGAGGGGGTGTTTAAAAAAGAATACAGTCTGTCGAGGAGAAAAAAGAGGTGAGGTCACAGCACTTAGAGGAATTAAGGGACAGGGACCGGGAGCTAGACCAAGTCAAGAGTTTGTCTAATCCTCTTTGGAGTTTAGAAGATCCCACAATTACAGGGGTTATACACACTACGGCAACGTCATCAGCGTATATACACCCCGTAAGTGCCGAGTGGAACAGATGGAGAGACGTAATGACTCGGCGTTCCTCGATGGATCGCCTGAAAGCTCTTAAGATATCAACGTTAAGGAGTACAATAGTGAAAGCTGTCAGAGGGTTTGGGTTGTTGAAGCAAAACCAAGGAAACTGATACAGACGATACATAGTAGAAGGTAGCGACTCGTATGGGCGGTCAGCCAAGGTCTTTTGTGCAAATGAACAAGGAGCAGCGATTGTCAATCGAAGTCCTTATTCTTAGGAAGGTCAACAAACGTATACTGAGGATAACAGAAGTAGTGGACTTCATCACCATCATCGTCAAATCGCTCACGAACGTTACGCTGCGAGGACCCATTAATCCTCGAATACGTGGACTCAATCAAACCTAACCCGAATTCCGCCACAGCGGAGGGTGCATAAAGCATATCTGTACAGCTCGCCATACGGTTGAACAGCCTGCTGCAGATGGAACGACCGGGAGTGATAGTATTCGTAGACTCGAG